TTATTTTTGTCTTTGTAGACATTGCCTAAGGTGCCGTTGTACGGATCGTCTGGAAGCAGTCTTTAATTTCATCTACCTTCCGCGAAGTTTGACGTACGAAAAGTCGAAATTTTACTGACTGGAAAACGCTACAATTGGTGTTACTCACGTTATAGCAACCTATGCCTGTAATAACATTACCTACATAGTAAATACAATGCTAGTTACAAAAACTCGTCCTTATCTTTTCATTGCGTACTTACAAGAAAAAAACGTTCACCTTACTTCTCATACTAAGCACTGGAGATTCCGCGTAGTATTCACTTTTACTTGCTCTCTAGAAAATGCTTTCTACTATATTCGCAAATGACTATTAGACTTCTGTCACATGAAACGGTAAAACATAAGGCGTATGCAGTTTAAAAGTTAGGGTATATTTGCATTTATTGACATAAAATTTATGTACATCTTTCATTATTATACAAGAAAGTTCTCAAAGTAATTCAGAGTTGCTCGCAGTGCACTAATAGTATATTCATTACTATAATTATCCTGCATAACTGCGAAGCTCCTGTTCAATTGCCTGCGAAGTTGCAGTATCTCCATGCAGGGTTTCTTCACTGAACGTTCACACGGAACACGACTTGGTAGCAACGGATCCTGCCAAAACCATCTGCGACACAGGGGAATTACTTTGTCAACTAAAAATATTAATTTAAATATTAGTAAGAGTTTGATTTACCTGTAAACTGGGGAATTTGAGTGTGACATAGCAGCATATGCCGGCAAGGTATTCTTTGTGCCCTAAATATTCTGCAGGTACAAGTAGAATTGGTATAATCCACTTGGTACAGGTATATGCCGTCATTTGTGATAGCCATATCATCAGTATACAACTCTATGTTCAACACTACGACGCTTCTCTGTGCGTACACACCATTTATACGTCTTGCACATGCATATGTGTAGTGGATCTCTTCTGTGGAGATATCGTTTTAGGTGACTGTGAGAGCTTTCAACTCTATTGTTGGTACTATTAAACAGCAACAGAGTATTCGGCATATATGCCGCAGCCCACGTCTCCTTCTTAGGCACCCAGTAATGCCTGACATAATTCCACACCCTCCGATCAACCATCCTAATGACACTAAGGTAGTGGTGAAATCTAAACGGTTAGAAATCAATGCATTTACCTTTCAGGTGTGGCAGCTTTAAGAATACGATATAAAATCCTGAGTGCGAAAGGATTTCGAGTCTAAATGCATCAAGTATTAATTATATTCACCTCACCTTCCTGCTGAAAGCCCGGCATACATGAAATGCACAGATGACGATTTTCGCCTGAATTTGACTATTACGCACGGCGGATATTTCACAGTTGGCCGAATCCATTACGAAAGTTTCTGTAATGGACGTATCCTGCATTATTCTTTGGAATTGTTCCAATATCCAAGCTACATCACATGACCTCTCTCCTCTCGTCCATGCCAAAAAAACAGGCCTACCATGACCCATATTGTCTGTTACCACCAACTGAAACAGAGAATATCTAATTAAGATTTGTCAACCGTTTCCCGTATAACCTACCCGTCCTTATTGGTATTGTATGTTGAGTCAATACACACCACGTCTCCATATTTCCGATATAACTGAACCTGTGATTCCAGGGCGAAGCAAATTCTGCTGGTTATCCTTGTATTCGAACCCACGTATTCAACCACCTGACCGCTTTGCCTTATTAGGCGCATAACATCTGATCTCAAAGGCATGGCTTCAAAAATAACTTTAAACTACTTCAATTACCTGGTCTCACATCCTTACGTAAATTATACACATCTGTGCTCGTCAAAATTTTATTAAAATCCTCTTCAGCATATTCCAAAACATAAGCAACCTCAGATGTAGTCTTCACAACTGGTGCAATATTCTCCTTTTCATCCCCGGACAGGCGTCTAAAATATGGATCACCTATCATAAGACTTTTTTCACACCCGTGATTGTGAACTGTTTTCGCGGAAGAAATGATAAACTCGTCCTCCTTGTGGCGTATACGAAAGCCAGATTGGCAACCGGTGTATTTTGCACTGCAGAAATAAATAATAGAATTCTTACGGTTTGACGCGTAAACCTGAACCTCTAGTTTTTCGCTTCATGCCATATGTACAACGAAAGATTACTAATTTGTGCTTCAAATCCTGAGATTCATGGTCCCGTATGCACTTTTTGATTACATAATGTGTATGAGTTGCCTAGGAATACTCTGTCACACATATATACATATATTACTGATTCCAGCTGACTTAGAGCATCTTCTACTTGAACCCAACTGGTATAACGGTGAATAAACATAATTACGTCAAAAATTTTTTTGATATCCACTGATATAGGAAGGGCAGGTTGGTCACCATTGTCTCCAAGTGCCAATGCGTCCATTCGGTACCACTGTAAATGAAAACAGAAGCTTTTCAATAAAAAATTCATGAATAGCCAACAGAGTACAGTAAGCAACTTAAAAGAGACATTGACTTGGAAACTATAGCGGAAAAAAATATAAATTCCTTACCACAGTTACCGTTTTGGAAAGTTCCTGATTATAGCCATAAACATTTACTGGAACACTCGTGAACGACAAATATGGACACAAGTGATGAAACGAAGCCCTACAGAAATCATTGAGACGCTACAAACACGAGGATTTTTGGGTGCACCCTATAATTTTCACATGAAACACATTCTCAAGCATTCTCCTGCACCATAACTGCCTTCAGGCCTAGAGGCAGCTTTTGACGACTATTCTTAACAAAATCAATACAGTTCAAGCCAAACAGAAACCAGAATCACGTCAAATGCAGCTACCTAGATCAAACGAAACAAATCAGCCAAACCGAAATCAACTAGACCGCGCAAATGTCCTCAAGGTAAAAGTGGAGGCGCAGCTTCAAACAGGGGATATGCCTTATCAACGCCCGCAACAAGCAATTCCGTAGTGTGACGAACCAACCAAGGACCTGTCATCCGTCGAATGTACCTTCAGAAACAGAGATGGATCGGACACACGCTGAGATGACCTGAATAGGAAACACGGTGTTGAGCATCTAAGAGTGAAACTGAAGCGGCCGTGTGAAGAGGGTATGACAGTTTATTGGCAGTCGTGGAGCCAGCTAAGGAGGACTGCAGGGAGTAGGATGAGATGTAGGTGTGCTGTTGAAGTCTCATGCTCCATTCAGAACCTTAGGGACCAATAATAAACATCTCATTATTATGTACTATTCTGAACTTCCTAAATCTTCCCGGTCCTAAGTTTACTTAGTCCAACATGTAGACTTATGCATACATTCTGAAGAACAGTCACATTATCTGACTTCGTTGTTTCACGCTATGTTGCGAGTAACTTCAATGTTACAAGTTACCTAGTGCAGCTAGGGGTTAGGTTGGGTAGAAACAGGATTATGGTCTATGAAAATGCCAAATTGGCACCCATGCTTCTACCCCTCCGTAAGGTGTTTGTGCTAGAACGAACTATATCTATACTATTTTCTGGCTATGTAAGGGGTGCTAATGTTACCTGCAGGGACGATCCCTGGATGAATACCTCAATATGGCAATCCGCTGCTTCCATTACTTCATCTTTACTCCCCACAGCTGACTGAAATGGGCTTACTTCGAAAATCAGGTTTATGATCTCGTGTTGACCTCGTCATCATTCCTACTAACAGTTTCCAGGGGCGCTTCAAATGTTGGTAATTTGTCTACGAAAAAGCTGTTTGCCCCTTAGCCTGGCCTAAAATATAATCGATTGAATCCATATCTTGTCTTACACACTTTAGTCCGCAACGTATAACTCCACATAATCCACGGTCAAGTGTGATTATCCATATAAGTCTCACACACAAACTGCTGTCAGACAGAGGTGTCAACCCTTCTACCTCTTCATACTAAACTATCCGCCCCATGTAAGCTGCAGTTTTCTAGATGAAATTCAGCGTCACTGATCTCAGATTTCAACTTAGAGATGACGGGAAGATTCTGGCTTTATTGCTTGGTCGCTCCGCTCAACTCACTCCACATTTGGACATCTGAATGGAGCAATATGACAGCTGTCTCTGCTCCTGCGCTCTAACCACAGAGCTTTGGAAGCTGTTATGCGTTAAACGTTCACTGCTCGAAAAATATCAATGTTAGAGTCCTTCTAGATGTCACATAATTTTTCTACTTCCACTTTTCACACTGCATACCGTCATTGAGAAGAAGGTAGCCCATTCACATTCCATGAGTGGTGATCTAAGAGATCAATTACCCGCGAGAACACTGATAAAGTGTTACTGAGGCAAACTGCAAGATATTTGGTAACAGCGGTAAACCAAGAAAACAAAACAACCAAAACTTGAAGGAAACACTCTCCAAAAGTCATTCGAGAAATTATGAAATGATTATATTCTAAATAGGTTTAGAGGCTGAAGAAGTTGGCATTCACTGATGGTAAAATGCAAGCTAACGCAGAGTCTAATACCAACAATTTCTGTAGTATTCATTCCGCGTAAACTAAAGACAAGGTGAAACACCAGAGTGATAGCTCAAAACACGAAGTGTATTTCAGGACCAAATCGTAGTCTGGGGGATGACTATTTAACTAGCTAGGGATCGTGCATGAACGCATGGATGTAACACTATGGAGTGCCTAATCGGGTGGATACTAGGCCACTAGGCTTCAGCTAAACAAGTCGACCCAAGCAGTGAGGCCCAGAATCCAGTATTGAGTGATGAATAATGTAGCCAATAATTTTGGCGATTCATCTGCCACTGCAAAGGCATGTTAAAGCTTGTAGCTAGAAAGGCGTCGGTAATGATTAATAAGAAGAATGCTAGAATTTAAAAATTGATGAAAAGTTGAGTACAGATTTCTCAGTATCACATTTTCATGATTTTGGCAATCTGTAATAGCTTTTAATCATTTAAGACTAAGGTGAAGTTTGAGTGTAGAGGGAAGTTCGTTTTTCCAAGGTCACTTGTTTTGTTGCTGGGTTCTGGGTAAGATATCCGCACAATTGTTTTTGTCCCAAAGTCTCTTTTGTGAAGATTAGTCTTCCAGACCTTTGTCTCTAGAGTGACTGAGTCTACTGTAAATATTGAATTAGGTTATTGTTGGCACTGTGGCAAGGGTTGAGATCGGGGTTTTCGAAATTAGGTTAGGATAAATATCAAAGTCTTACCTTTTTACCTACTACTTAGGAGTGCAATGTCTCATGTATGCATCCATGACTTTTCCTTCAGCTTATTATATTTCAGAATATGCTATAAGTGATTCAGTGATCCAGTGCCCTTTGAGTTAGTAGGCCTCAGAGAATCATTGATGACTATTCTTGAAGACTTCTATTATCGTGGTCGAGGATGCTCTTAGGATGTGTACATGTTGAAAGTCAAGTAGAGAAATGGATCCAGCTACTGTATGCTTCCAATATGATGCAAACACGCAAAGTTAAATTATCATTGCCAAAGAAGTGACCTTGAACAACCAGCCAGAACCCAGATGCTAGAAGGTCGCATAATCGTTAGGAAATGCACATAAAACATTACAGACATGCTTTCACGCTGTAAAGTTGTCGCGTATGTGTCGTAAAAATGTCTCCCAGTAACTGCAAAGATGATCTGCAGGTAAATCATACTATGCGCGACAGATGCATTCATCCAGGTGACTGTAGGTCATGGTATTTTGAGATCCACTGTTTTTTGTAACTTATTCCTAGCTGCAACCATAATCCTAACTTCAAACGTAATCCTAACCCTAGACTATAAACCCTAACATTAAATGGCATAACCATACCTAACGGTGTAGATTTATAAAAAGATACCTAAGGAATAAGTAGAATACTGTATCTACCCTCTCCAAGTCTAAAATGGAAGGCCCGATTTAATTTGGAATGAACTTTCATAGCATTCCCTATTTCTGATTGGTTCTTAAATGTCATCTCTTGTCAGTGTCAGAGGAATTGTGTCGGACAAATTCTTTTCAAATTCACATTTACTTCTATCGTTTTGTGAGTATTTTCAAATCCTTCAGTTATTACTGAAATATGCGGTTGAATCCACAACGTTTGCAAAACTGATAGTGAAAAATTTGACAGGACCACCTATAAGATTATCCCTGCCGTCGTAATCATTTTTAGACTGACTGGTTTCAAAATGAAACCTTTCACAGATGTACAGCAGTTCGAGTTGCCACACTCCCTGCATGTAGCACACAAAGCAAGAGAAGGAAGTAGAGTTTCAAAAGAGAGATAATAAACAGAAGTTTCAGGCAAAACGATAATAATAAGGAAGGACAAAACAATTTTATTGGATATTATAAATCCTAAAGAGTGAATGCATCTGCACTATTGAGAACGATGTCCAGCCTCCAAAGCCTCAGGATGGTTGGGGGTGGGTGCCTTGCGCTGCGGGTTGGCCACCCCTCCGCACACCTCTTGAAATGCTCCCATATGACCGGGCGTCTTACATAGCCTCTCCTGAGGAAGTCGTACTCACTGCCTTCACGTGGCGGAGGTGTTTTTCACCAAAGTGAGAGGGCGAAAGCGGATGCCCGGCGCTCTTCACCGGGTTGACTGTCCATTGGATGACAGTCTAGGGGAGATGGCTAAACCCTGATTCCAAACCTCCGACGACTGGCGTATGAAGCTCACTGGAGCTCACCGGCAGACGTATGGACAAAGGGCTTGTTGGATGTCCTGGATGTCTGGCCCCATTCAAAAAGGCGTATGAACCGAACTCCGGTCACCGGCTACCAATGGATAGTGGACTCCCTACTCCACTCCTACTGCCTTGTAGGTCACACTTGGTTGTGTAAAGGCTAGAGCTGCACTCTCAAACAAAAGGCCGAGCGATTCTGGGGAAATCACTCGTACCGAATTCCCATGAAACTTCATGAACTCTCTTGCATCAGATCGCCGCGCCTGGGCAGCGATGATTCGAGATGTTCATGAAGCCGGCTCATCCTCCCGTAGGAGATAGCCGAAGTAAAGTAAAGTAAGTATATCACCAACCATTGGTTTTTACCATCCCAAGAACACCAACCAGGAAGTCTACACCTCCCTACGCGACTAGCTTAAACTAACTGTTGTGGATTTCATTGAATCATGCCATGTTCTGGTTTGACCGCCATATGCTAGCTCTTTTCCAACCTGATCCTATGTCAGCTAACATTGACCGTCGAGGATGGCGATGTCCTAACCATCTCAATCGATATGACTTCACAGCCTCGTCGATTCATTCCTTCTCCTTACCTAGCCCTACTTTGCCTAACCTCAATATTGCTCATCTTTTTATACCACTTGTTATACACGGGGAATGGAATGCAGATACCTATGATCAAAGACAACTAGCCAAGCTTTTCATGTCTTCCACTTTCATTGGCCATGTCTCACTCACAACCATAAAAGAGAACAGACCAGACTGCAGAGCTGTTCACACGCCTTTCGGTCGACAGCCAACCGGATATCACGTCCACGCCAGAGATGGCTTAAGTTGGAGTATCCCAAACGAGCCTTCTGTATCCATGCTGAAATTTTGTCAGCAATCAACTCGTTGGGGTTGATGTAAAGTGGTCAACATGCTCCACCAACCACTTCACTCCTACCTATTTTTAAGCTAATAGTCAATATAGTCCAGTCCTGTAACATCATCTTACATTTGACAAGGGGAGCGAATCGCATGCCAAACATTGGAAAACTGCTGCCCAAGGTGTTCAGAATACTCTGCATTTTATCAGCGTCTTCACCTAGAAGAACTGTATCACCTGCATATTCTAAGTCAACTAGATTATTCCCTGGAAAAAAATCAATCCCGGAGTCGCTGAAGTCAAATCAGTTAGTGTTAATTCCATTAGTACATCTATGCTGAAACTGAATAGAAATGGGGATAGTGGGCACCCCTGACGGATACCACTGGTTGTCACCACTTCAGATGACAACTCGCCGTAAGCTCTCACCTTGCTGACTGCATGTGTCCGAATGAAGTGCATTGATCATTTCAAGTATTTTCTCGTCATTCCCTTCCCAGTCAAACATCACCATAGTACCTCTCAGTTGACGGAATCGAATACCGGTTCCAGATCGAGAAGTATGACGATTGTTGGACGCCATCAAGTATGACTATGTTCCAGAATCTGTTGAAGGGTAAAGGTGTAATGAATACACCCTCTTCCTGGTCCAAAGCCTGCCTGGTTTGCTCGTGTTTGTCCCTCACGGGAGCCGCTTTGTCTACTCATGATTACTGAGCCTAGAACTTTAGATACCATATTTGTCAAGCTAATCCTTCTGTGATCATCACAGGAAGACTTGTCTCCCTTTTTGTAAATGTGATAATCATTGACTTACATCAGCCTGATTCCCAGACGCTGCCTAATGCCTTAGTTAACGCAGACAGTAAACTGTCTCCATCGTCCTTGAACACCTCAGTAGTCATCCCATTGGGTCCCTCAGCTTTGTCTCGTTTCAAACTAGTGACAGCTTTTGTAACCTCAGTTAGGGGTGGGGGACCTGCATGTATATCCCTTTCAGGGAGGTGTCGGATGCTGGGTAAATTGAGTGTGGCTGTAGGCCAATTAAATTGCCCCTCAAAGTGTTCTTCCCAACGTTCCAGTCGTCTATCCTGAAAGGTAATTATGTTGCCATTTCCTCGGACATTGTTTCACTTATCATTTGCCTTTTACCACCTGTTTTCCTGATAAGCCTAAATAGTTGTCTGGTGTTGCCAATAGCCGATGCCTTTTCCATCTCTTCTGCTTTTGCCGCCTACCACTGTTCACGGTCGTTTTGAAGACTTCTTGTCAGTTTGCGTTTGAGCAGCTTTCACTCCTCATCATTTTCGGAGCTTGCCGAAATCAGTCTTGCCTTAATCAATTTGGATGAGCTAGTAGAAGTCCACTGGTTCTTACTAATTTTTGGTTTCAGGTTATTAACAGCCTTTACAGCTGTGTCTACAGCTAACTGTATGTTGTTCCAGGCTTCCCAAGGATCTCAGATACTTGTTTCGCTGTTTCCTCCTTATATGGGAACTCAGTATCTCGATCCAGTTGGGGACGTAACTGCTTCGCTGCCAACAATTTTTATGTCCGTTTTGTCGTAAGCATAAACGTGCACGAACCATGGCATGATCGGAGTCTATGCATGTATTTCAGAAGGAGCGGTAGTCTTCTACTGACCCTCGCCAACAATACCCTATCGCTATGTGGTTTATTTGAGTCCAGCGTCGATTTGGTAATGTAGGTCGCCAGGTTAGCCAATGTTTCTCTTTGTGCCTAAAGTTAATGCTGACAGATGATTATCTGAACAAAACTGTAGAAGACGATCACCGTTGTTGGTTCGTCGGCAGGGAACCCAGTATGTACCACCTATATACTTCTCAGTCTGACATAACTCCCCTACTTGGGCATTGAAGTTGCTTGCTAAAACAACTATATTTGAACGTTTTGCTTTTTGCAGCAAACTATACAATTCAGGTAGAAGTCATCCTTTAGTTCATTCAAACTGCAGTCTGTTTGGACGTAAGTGGAGACTATGATAGGAAAATGACGAGTAACGCTATCCTTCCTTCTTCTAACGGACCTGTTCAAACGGACCGCACACATACGACTATCTACTGGGACTTTTCCGCCCTAACACTCACTGCTATCCCTGCACCCTCGAGTCCTCGTGAACTAACTGAGGAGTCTCTTGGCAACCTTAAGGTGAATTTTGAAGATCCATTTAGTTGTCCGGGTGGGATAAGTGAGTAACCACACCGGTCTTGTATGCGTGACTCCGAAACACAGCATACATCCATGACTCGAGATGCCAGAGTTCTTGCTAGTGATGCCTGTTGTCCGATTTGGCAGAGGGTCCTGACGTTAAATGCTCCAATATGAAGTTGGTGGCGTGGCTTTAAGAGGTTCTCGGTAGTGTTTTCTGACTCATTGTTATTTGTGGTCACAGAATGGAATGAAGGTGACTGACTAGCCTGCAGAATAGTACTGACAAAAGTAGGGAAGCAAGATGATGAGGATGACAGGGATAAAGGATGATCAGGGTATCTGGTAGTCAGTGATGAACGGTTTTTATACTGTGTAAGGTGGTTCACTAAGATCAGAGTTTGTAATTTTAATCAAAGTAACTGCAGTGGTGTTTAAATTTAATATCTATTACTCAAAAGTGGTCTCACTTACTGAAGTGTTACATACTTTGTCTTCAGAGTTTTCAGTTTGTACCTTCTAGTATAATTTAGTCATTATCCATAGTATGAACTGATGCCCAATGAAGGCGTATTCTTCCCTTGTCATATATGTATATATATTCAAATGTTTGTGTATTGTTTTCTTTTCCTCCAGTGTAAATAATGAACGGTGTCACTTTCAATCATAACGAGCCAATGGCTCTGGGATCTCCTCCAAGTGGAACCACATCTCCAAGTGCTTGTCAGTATCTTCCAGGATTTCTCATGAGTGAAAATCCACAGATGGCAAATGCACAATCAACTGAATCCAAGATTCCACGTCAAAATCCTCTTTCCCCTCTGTCTGGGAACGCATATAATATGCCAGTGAGTTTTATAATTGCCTAATTGCACATTTGATAAAAAAAAGCTGCTTTTAAAATCGATATCTAAATCACAATGAACGTCTGTATAAATCGACTAGGTTTCAAGGTTTCGCCTATTGTTGGAAGTTGACATTTTTTAAAATACAGAATCAATTTTTGTATATTCGGAAGTTTTCTTCTCGTTTTGAGACTAAAGTTGTAGAATTCTTGGCGTAGAAAGTTAGTCTTAATTCGAATGTTTGTTAAACATATCGATCCATTACCATTGGAAAAGTGCAGCTTTGTCTAATGTAGTAAAAATTTAAACAAAATTAAAGGGATGGTCAAATGAAAACATGACTAGAGTCTTTTTTTCAGCCGTATTGTTTAGGTAAATAATGAGTGTTTGTGGTTAATTTCTGCCTGACAACGTTAATCAAAGTTTGAAGACTTTTGGTAGTTATGATGTAAAGTAAAATTTACTGGTGGAGGTTTACTTTATTATTACTATTGTTCCCTTGGGTTCCTAGTGGAACATTGGGCTTCAACTGCACGTCTCCACTTGCTTCTGTGTTCTGCTGTGATTTTCACTTGCATCCATGTTATTCCATACTGTTTCAACTCCTCTTCACATGATCTCCTCCATGTCACACTTGGACGTCCCATTCACCGCTTCCCTTTCGGGTTCCACTCGAGCGCTGGCCTGACGCGCGATGTCACCCAGCGGCCTCCTCAGCGAGTGTCCAATCCATCTCCACTTTCTCCTGCATATTTGTTGAGCGATTGGTTCTTGTTTTGCTTGTTCCCATAGTTTCTTGTTGGTGATTCTTTCCGGCCTCTATCTGATCTTGAGTATAGAACGAAGACAGTTGTTGATAAAGGTCTGCAACAGGCTGTTGGAAATATTCTTTGTGACCCGCCGCCAAGTTTCTGATCCGTATAGAAGAACTGACTGACTTGACGTTTGTATTGAAAATCCGAATTTTGTTGTTGATGCAGGCTGAGTGACGAAGATTTCCAGATTGGTTTCAGGTTGATGAATGTGTTTCTCGCCTTCCCGATTCTCGATTTGACATCCTCGTCCGTTCCTCCTGTAGTTGAGACAATGCTCCCTAGATAAGTGAATGAAGTAACCTCTTTCAAATCCCTCCCGTTGATGGTGATTGGCGCTGGATGTTGCTGCTGTTGTTGGTTGTTGGTTGGTTATTTTCATAACCTCCGTCTTGTCTATGTTCACCTGGAGTCCTGTCTTTGCTGCTTCTTCGACCAGTTTGTCGGTTTTCGCTTGTAAGTCTTCGATTTTGTGTGACATCAAACATAAGTCATCCGCGAAATCCAGGTCTTCTAGGTTCTTCACGTCGGTCCAGGATATCCCTGTCTTCTCGTTTCCCACTGTCTGACGCATAATTCAGTCCACCACAATTAGGAATATCATTGGTGATAATAAGCACCCTTGTTTACTCCAAACGCCTCACTGAGTTTTCCGTTGTTGATCACTTGACATATGCCGTTGTCGTACAGCTGTTGAATAAGGTTGATGAATATTTGGGGTACGCCGTAGTACTCGAGTAGTTTCCAAATTACTTCACGGTCAACGCTGTTGAGGAGGTTTACTTACTCTCTATTTTCATTTAGTTCTCCTTTTGTAAGACTTCTGTTTACTCTTTTTTCCAAGTTTTATAACTGATGTCCTATTTTTAAAATTCTTCATTCTCCACTTTGCCAACCAAAATAAATTACAACGATATGGACTACTGTGTACTTTAACCAGTTCTTGTATTTTTCTGTATCTGTGCATTAGTGTTCGCCTTAACTTTCTTGGTCTTGAATAGGTTGGAATTCGTTGCATAACTATTAGAAATTGATCAGTTTGTATGACAACTTGAACTGTTGTACTTCTGTGCAAAGTTCTGTATTGAAACTCACTTAATCAGTCAGTCAGTCAGTCGTTTTCAGTGTACATTTAGGACCACTTTTTCTTTATGTGCGGCTGTGGATTCACCCTGTGCGTGTGTTAGACATCTTAGACTTTCTATCGAAAGACATAAGACTAACTAACTTCGGTTCGATTTTGAATTGTTCACTTTAACTAGATGTTAATTATATTGAAGACGAACTGACTGTTTCATATGTTCATATTTCAATCGTAGTCATCTATTAAAATCTATTCTGTTATAATTTGCTTATTTACCATCCTGTTTAGCTGATTGAATTGCGTAAGTTATGCTTACAGACTAAAGCGAAATTCAGTAGATAGCAGCACTTCTACATTTTGGCATGTTAAACGCAAACACAAACTAACAATAAGACTAATCATAGTCACGTCATAAAAATCAAATTAATAAACCATTTCTAAAGTTTATCCTACTTTACTGTAACCTATGGGCTTTGTAAATTCTATGTGCAGCCTAGAGTGTACAAAGTGTGCTCATATTGTGACTAGCAGTTCAAGTAAAGCGATGCTGATACTAGACTGCTAATGCTGTTACGTTGTTTACTGTAATGGGTGGTAGGAGGATCGGTTGGGGAGGGGAGGTTCACTATTTTTCTCGCTCAGCAAAACTTATCTGCAACTTTGAGTTAGCTGACGTTACCTAAATGATCTGAGCATGAATCTTGTGATACTATGAAATCCTTTCCTATAGTGATAAAAGGCTAATTTTTTACTAGGCTTTCTAGCCTGTACACTTCAGCATACTACTGTATATTTTCTTTTATTTGTCTGTAAAGCTGTAGCCTATCGCTGTTCAAGTCGTCTGTTTCAATCAGTAGCTCTTGGGTTCTAAAGTCCAAATATTCAGAAGGATATTATGACTAGATCTTACACTTGGTGTGCTTCAGAGTTGAATCTGTAAAACTGGCAGTCAGCCAGTTCTCATATTCACTGTGTAAACGTGTAGAGTAGAAAACTATTCATCCCTGTCGAAGATATGACCTCTTCAAATAATGATTATATTCTGCTTACTCAGGCTTCTTCAGTATTGGTGTAGGAGAAAAAAAGACGTTGTTTAGTAGTCTTGAAGACCACTTGGTCAATGAATAAAATCAATTTCTTCTGACTTAGTCTTCGTTAGTACTTACATCCGATATCCCGGAACACCATGATGGTATGGTAAATACTTTATGCTAAGCATTTAAAGGGAATATATTTTTGGGGTTTGTACTCTTTTCTTTCTGTCATAGTTGATTTTGTACTTTCATTGCATTACTTTTAGGCTCCTCAACATAATGTAAATAAACTGCAACCACGATATATGAGTCAAGCGCAGGATACAATTGCACGTCGTTTAACATCCCCTCCAACACGAAGTATGTGGTCGTCTGTTAATGCTACCGGTGTTCTTGCTAAAAACACTTCAGACAATTTTGGTGGTGTCAAACACAGCACACCAATTCTTGCTGCCGGCACACCAGTAAATCCATCAATGAAAAGGTTGGGAACTGCAAGTCCATTCCAATCACCCGGTGATCCAAGTTTCCATCGTACTCCTTTGCATAATATTGGAAATAATTCTACATCTTTCATTGGATCTCCGTTACACAATAATAACAGTGTCACAGGAAATCCAAATGATGGTTTGGTTAATAAGCAAGATGGTTTGATAACGCCTAATCGTTTAGCTGAAGCACTGCTTACACATCAAAGGTAATTATTGAGTCTTTCATATTTACTCTTCACATTCTATTGCCCATTAACAATTAAGCTGACTTCGGACCGACTTCAAACTCCAACAACATCGAATAATCAATGCTGTATGGTATTGATTCAAGGTTTTTATAATGCCATGGATATGCGTTGATTGCTTTATCTATGTCATCAATTTATGTTGCTTTTGTTGTAAAGTTAGATTTTATACCTCTTTGTCTATTTATTGCTACTGAGGTTGATTAAAAATAGCGGAAAAAATGACCTATGTGTTAATTGGTTCCGATTAGTATCTTTTTGATTTGGTTGTGTTCTCTGAAGTGGTTGATTTAATTACGAAGCTTTCATTGTCCCCCCCCCCTTCAACGCAAGCTTTAATATGAAGTGAGTAAACTTATTTGAATTCTCCATGAATGATGATGTAATTGTACTTCCTGACAACTATTGTCATGATCAGCAATTAACTGACATCTTTATTGACTTGGTCGGTTGGTCGGTCGATTTTCGACATAGAACTTTGCACATATGTGCGGCAGTTCAAGTCGCCACACTCCATGTAGCACACAAGGCAAGAGAATAAAGTAGGAGAAATGCATAGTATAGACAGTAAGCAGAGGTGTGAGACAAAGGAATTTGGAAATCGGAGTTTTTTGTCATGTGACTTATTTTCCATTAGTTGGTAAATTTGATCAATACTGTAACAACAGAAGACAAGGGCCAGGCAACAGATCGTTTATTAGGGAAAATCAACACATATTTATAGATTTTAATGTACATTATTGTTAGTAGAAAATACAGTCTTTTGATTGGTTGTTTCTCACAGAAAGTTAACCTTGCATCTCTTTGTGGCTGTGTCAGATCATTCATATGCTAACTGTATCCGCCTACGCGAAGCCTTTGTTCTCATTTTCTCACCACCAATATTGGGGACATAAACATTGACGTCAATTACTGTCTACCAACTTTGGCTAGCAGCCGGCTCTCACCACAATAGTAGTACGTTTGTTAATCGTCGATTCATCTAAGTAACAGACTTGTAGAAGTTCCCTGGCGTTTTTGGTGTTTCCTCTTTTTAAAATTCCCACATTTCCCCAATCAAATTGGGGATTTTAAGTCGAAATGGACACCTACTTTGACCAATGTAGTGTTTATCACAGTTTATGCAAATTATTTTGTAAATGTTATTGGTCTTGTCTTCTTTGGTTGTTAGATCCTTTGGCCTACACAATATTGAATGAAATGATTGTGTTGGTTTGTGTGCTATGTCTATTTCAAGTAGTTTAAGTATTCTGACCGTTATTTCAGAGATCTTTATATATATAATAGAATGAATCTTCTTGTGGTTTTTGAGGATGGTTTCTTGTTAGTATTTCTATTTAAGTTCAAACATTTTTTGATGAAATTGTATGAGTATTCATTATTCTTCTTGAAGACAGTTAGCAGATGTTTCTCTCTTCTCTCCACTTCAGCACTGGCTTGCTACAGTGTGTTTGAACTCTTCTAAACAATATCTGCACATAGTTTCTTTTGTGAGTCATTGGGTTATTGCTATTATAGTTGAGTATTTGATCTCTGTGTGTTTGTGTGTGTGGGTTTTCTGTATACTTGTGTTTCCAGATTTCCTGTGTTTTTGTTCTCTTGATTAAGACATCTAAGAAAGGATTGTCTTCGAACATGTTGTTGATTAATTTGTGGGTGTATTTCAAGGAGGGATCCAAGATGTCATAAGATTGAGTGAGGTTGGCTAAGACTAATATGTCGTATAGATGAGAATAATAGTCACTTGCTTGAACGTTATAATCTCTTTGTGTCCTGTGTTTATGGGAAGCGAATACTAAGCAAACACGAGAGAACTAGGTAGGCTTTAGACCAGGAAGAGGGTGTATTCATTACACCTTTACTCTTCAACAGATTCTAGAACATAGTCATACTTGATGGCGTCCAACAATCGTCATACTTCTCGATCTGGAACCGGTATTCGATTCCGTCAACTGAGAGGTACTATGGTGATGTTTGACTGGGAAGGGAATGACGAGAAAATACTTGAAATGATCAATGCACTTTATTCGGACACATGCAGTCAGCAAGGTGAGAGCTTACGGCGAGTTGTCATCTGAAGTGGTGACAACCAGTGGTATCCGTCAGGGGTGCCCACTATCCCCATTTCTATTCAGTTTCAGCATAGATGTACTAATGGAATTAACACTAACTGATTTGACTTCAGCGACTCCGGGATTGATTTTTTTCCAGAGAATAATCTAGTTGACTTAGAATATGCAGGTGATATAGTCCTTCTAGGTGAAGACGCTGAGAAAATGCAGAGTATTCTGAACACCTTGGGCAGCAGTTTTCCAATGTTTGGCATGCGATTCGCTCCCCTTGTCAAATGTAAGATGATGTTACAGGACTGGACTATACTGACTACTAGCTTAAAGATAGGTAGGAGTGAAGTGGTTGGTGGAGCATGTTGACCACTTTACATCAACCCCAACGAGTTGATTGCTGACAAAATTTCAGCATGGATACAGAAAGCTCGTTTGGGATACTCCAACTTAAGCCATCTCTGGCGTGGACGTGATATCCGGTTGGCTGTCGACCGAAAGGCGTGTGAACAGCTCTGCAGTCTGGTCTGTTCTCTTTTATGGTTGTGAGTGAGACATGGCCAATGAAAGTGGAAGACATGAAAAGCTTGGCTAGTTGTCTTTGATCATAGGTATCTGCATTCCATTCCCCGTGTATAACAAGTGGTATAAAAAGATGAGCAATATTGAGGTTAAGCTTAGGTCGAGTGCTAGGTAAGGAGAAGGAATGAATCGACGAGGCTGTGAAGTCATATCGATTGAGATGGTTAGGACATCGCCATCCTCGACGGTCAATGTTAGCTGACATAGGATCAGATTGGAAAAGAGCTAGCATATGGCGGTCAAACCAGAACATGGCATGAGTCAATAAAATCCACAACAGTTAGTTTAAGCTAGTCGCGTAGGGAGGTGTAGACTTCCTGGTTGGTGTTCTTGGGATGGTAAAAACCAATGGTTGGTGATATGGCTGGACATCGTTCTCAATGGCGCAGATGCATTCACGCTGTATGATTTATAATATCCAATAAAATTATATTGTCGTTCCATATTATTATTGTCATTTCGCCTGAAACTTCTGTCTATTATCTCTCTTTTGAAACTCTACTTCCTTCTCTTGCTTTGTGTGCTACATGCAGGGAGTGTGGCAACTCGAACTGCTGCGCATCTTTGCAGGGTTCCATGTTGTAACCAGTTAGTCGGTCAAGCAGAATTAGTGTGAAAACACTCGATGTGTAATGCACACAACTTACAGTTTGTTCATTGCGTCTACATAGAGCTCCAATATGGATGAAATTTTATTTTGATGGAGCTACCAGTTGGTTAGTGTGACAGATTTGTTTAATAACTGTGTCATCCTAAAAGGTAAGTATCCAGACACGAATATAAGAGGATAAACAACTCAGTGAAGAGTCTCTTTTCGATGAATTGATTCAGTCTAAAGATAAACTGTCGCATTTGACCACTTCTATGTGTATCTACGAATTTAATTGTCCATGTAAAGCGAGACATATAGGTTGTTCGATGCGTTACCCCACTTGTCTACGAAAAGGTATCAGTAGATCAATACAGAGTGCTCTAAGTGAACATGTAGTCAACACCAGTCATTCATTGTGTGAGGAGAATTCATTCAAATTCATCTATAAAGTCAAAATGAACCTCCTGAAAATAGTAAGCTTCCGTATACTTTGCATTGCTGAGGAGGCCTTAGTGATTCGGATGGGAAACCCTGTGTTTTATGTACACAGAAAAAACTTCTCCATCCGCTCCTTCTACCCCTTGGGTATAACTCCAAGTTCAACTACTTTGTTATCAATATTTTGTATGACATTTTAGTGACATTTTTTTCCTAACTAACCCTATATTTACTCTTTTTACTTACTACATAATTTATTCTGGATACTTGTCTCCATGCTGTTTCATTAACATCCTATTTTTCTGGATGTTTTTCATGTTACGTAAACCTATTTAAGACTTACTAATCTTCATTCTCCCATCCTCGTTACAGTCTGATTACTCATCACAGCTTTTGAAATATGCTGGTAACGTAAACAATAAGCCTAACTAGTTTTTATTCTCATCTGACGAACGTAATGTGTACACACACACATACACAAAAATAATTCTATTTATATTTGCGATGTACAGGCTAAGTGAGTGAATTCACCGTCGACAAGAGACTCTTCGCTGAATTGTTTATTCTTCTATTCATGTACTAAAAGAGGTTAAAAATGATTAAGTAGTAATCAAATTGACCTTCAGATTGAAGCGTGAGTTTGAAATGGTTCTATTAACTGAAATCATTAAGTATGTAATCTTAATGCCGTTGATTAATATCCCAACATCTGAGTATATAAACCTGTATTGAATGTAAATAAATTCATTTTACTGTTCTTGATTCATTTATTTATTTATTTCACTCACAGTTTCAACGATAATGATTCTGCAAATCTACACGATTGTTGGGTGACTGTTTTTGGGTAAGTGTGTTGCCTATTTGAAGTACAATCCATTTTCAAGTGTTTGTGGTTTGCAGCGATAGGACTGGTTACAGGATTTCATTATGAGCTGAAATAGGTTAGACAGTCATTGGAAAGCCAGTACTAGAGTATTGGTCAGTTGTTTCGTCCTAGTTTTGGACTCTTTATCCGTGCGCACCCACCGCCAGAGGTCGAATCCAGAAACTTCTGGTTACAAGGCGAGTTCATAGATGGCCGTTAAGCCTCTGGGATCCGACCCAATGGCTAGTCCATGAATTCCAACTTCGCCTTGTAACGGGAAGGTCCTGGGTTCGAATCCCATTGGGTGCGTACTGATAAAGAGTCCCAAACTAGGACGAACTAGCTATCCAATACTCCAGTACTGGTTTTCAAATGGTCGTCTAACTGATGTAAGCTCATGATGAAATCCTGTAACCAGTCACAAATCCCTGCAAATCACAAACACTTGAATGTTAACTTGATGCTCACTTACGATTGACCCTATTCAGTTAGGTAGTTGCCTGTGTTCTAGTGGGAAGTCATGACCAATGGGGTATAACGGGTCGGATGTGAGGACAAATACTCGCCACCGATGACATTGGCTAGTGTGCGCGCTATGTCGTTGATTCCATTTTGTTTACTGTACTGATAAATATATATGAAGTGTTATTGATAGGAGTGCCTTGATAACTGTTTTCAGTTCTTTATAAGAAAGTGTCTTAGATATCTTTCTGAGGTTGTAGTTGCTTGGCTGATTGTGAAATCGTCTTAGAACTTTTATTGGAAGTGAATCGGTCACAACAACTATAAAGAGGTGAAATCTATTATTAATATTATTATTATGTTAAATTATGTGACAGTTATCAGACACCGGGAATTTAGTAACAATGTAGACTGTTGTTCTTCCACATTGTTATTCTTTTTCCCTCACTCACACTTCTGTTTATTATCTCGGCTTTGATGAATCTCTGTTTACTCTCTTCTCATGCTTAGTGTGGTACATGCAGAGAGTGTAGCAACTCGGACTGCTGTACATCTGTGCAAAGTTCTATGTTGAAACTAGTCAGTCAGTCAGGCAAGGCATTTATCGAAAATATCGACTCTTTGCACTTTATGTCATATTTATACTTCTGGGTGGGGGCATTACCCGTTCGCTCTTATTTAAGTTTGGTCGACATCTCTTCTTTTTGATCCTCAATAAAGTAATGGATTATGCAAGTGACTTTGTAAAAATGTTTTCTTCTGAACACCGTGATCGACGTTTTAAGAGTACTGTAGTTCCTGATTGCAAATTTGTTTCTTCAGAACTAGTAGGTATCAGTGCTTTCTCGGATATTCTTTGCTCAATCTTTTCTTCTTCTTCTAACTGTCTAAATGGTAATTTTCACGATATTGAAATCTTCCTCGGATAATCGATGGTGGTAGACAAGTGGTTATGAACGTACTTGTGATGTTTATCCTATTTCTTCTGTTTTGTCTGTCCAGCTACGTAGAGATTTCATCATGGACTGAAAGGATGTCTGACTTTTATCAACTGATACCAGTTGTTTTACGATAATAATAATAATAATAATAATGGTGCGATTTATTCCAAAACTGTACTTGTGATACAGAATGGAATTCTCAGCATTTGTTGCAATATTGCATCGAATTATTTACTCAAAATATAAATAAAATTTAACGACAGGTACCTTTCCATATTTACAGTGGGAATAATATCAGAAATGTGCAAAGTATAAAATGCGAATAGTAACCATGACAATAATAATAACAGTAGGTTTGTTTAAAACAATATTGTCATTACAGTTTGTAGAAATCTTGGCATGTTATGCAGTATTGAATTTAATGTTCTTTTGACATAGCAGCATAGTGGGGGGAGGGGGGGTTAAACGAAAAATAACAGCTACTACAGAGCTTAAATGGTGTTTACAATTGTGGTAAAAATGAGAGGACTATAAATATAAGAGGAATAATAACAGTAAGGGTTGATGGCATAAAGACGAAGGAAATTGTTTATTTACTAGTGGAAAGAAAGTTAATTAGTTCGTGCCTGATACTATTTCCATCACATAAAATACGTGCACAGCATGGTATCGTGGAATTTTTATGCTTAGACGTGCACGCATAAAGTCTCTTGAAGTGACTTCATGTTCTATCTGAGGAGATCTAAGGTGAAAGATGAGGGTAAAGTGTATGCTCACAGTCTGACTAAATCCCTTTAGCGAACTGATTGCATGAAATCAAGCGCTTATCAATGACGATGTTAACGACATAGCCCAATGGGATACCACTTGCCCTACTGACAGTCTTCAGAGTTCTACGAATTATGACATAGTCTTTTAAAGCAACCCAGGAAAGAATAAGTGTGAAGAATAAAGAAGAATAGGTAAGATGAAAGAGTCGACAAACTGTAAGAGGAGGGGTTAGTGGAGTTATGCCTAAGTGTCTTAACTTCTTAGTGTATACGGAATATTTTACTAGAAATCGTTGAGAAGTGGGAAGACCAGGATAAACTAGAAAGATAAATTAGTCTAAAGTGCTTAACGTCAGACTTGATATCTATGTCAGTATCACCAACTTTACAACGGTCGTGGGAATTAATAGCTTCATTTAACTTTCTTTTACATCGGAAAGTGAAATTAACAGTCTGAAATTTAGAAGGATTTAGTTTAAGGCCATTAGACAAAGACGATTTTTTGACTCCTCATACAAAGATGTTCATCTTAGAACAATCTAGGTGGGAGTTAACAGGCACTGAGACAGTTAGATCGTCCGCATACTTAGTAAAGTTCTTTTCAGCGGTAGGAAACAGAAAAGGAGAAAGAAGAGCACCTTCAGGGACGCCAGCCGTAGTAAGCAATGAATTGGACGACTTCCCCTGACATACAGTGTACTGCTTTCTTCTTGAGAAATAAGAATGCAGCCGTTTGACAACTCAACACTCATTTTGAGTTTCAACAAGCTTATTTAACAAAATATCCCTAGGTACCACCGAGTGAAAAGCAGATGTGTCTAAACTAGAGACGATGTTGTTATGCAAGACTGCAGTTGCATCTAAAGTACTTCAACTATGTTTATAGGCAAATTGTCTGGAATCAGTAAAGGCTTTAAGTGAAGGTTCAAGATTAAGTCAAAGCACCTTTTCCATAGTTAAATTTAACACATGTTCCTGTAGATACCTTTGGTATAGGTACAATTTTAATGTTTTTCCACACGGCTGGCACAATATTTCTGGTAAAATATTCTTAAAATGTATCAGTGAGAGGTTAACATAAGATATCTGCATATTTTTTAAGAACAGAACCTGGGCTTTGAGAAGAGTTGTTGATATCTAAAGAAAAAATCTATTGATATGATATCATTCTATTTCACAGGTTCTCATCAGCTGCAAACTACCTGAAATTACAATGGTTATAAATTATAAGATTTCATACTTCATTGTTTAACAGGTAACAGAGAAGACATTATAAGATGAACGTTTCCGGAATATAACTATTACGATTTATAGTTTAAGTTACCATCAATTTATATACTATCAAACTATGAAAAAACAGAAAGAAAGGGGGGTGAGAGAAGACAGAAAAATCGAATAAAAAGTGTTAGCTTGCACATCAACATAGCAACTCAAGAAGGTCAAAGTTCATCAATTTGAAAACTTGCTTAGTGACCTGAGCTCACTAGTGTGCATGACTAACCAGTGTAATGAAAGTGACATGGTTACCAAGGGAGTGAGAGATTGATTAAACTCTCTTTCTTTGTGCATAAGTTTGGTCTGAGACATTTGATTGCAATTGCTTCATCAAATCGTAGTAGATTCGCTGTCCTTTGTATGCTTAATATTTTTTTTTCATAGTTTGATAGTATATAAATTGATGTTAACTTAAACTAAAAAGTATTGTAATACTTATATTCCGGAAACGTTCATCTTATAATGTCTTCTCTATTACCTTTCAAACAATGAAGTATGAAATCTTATAATTCATAACCATTGTAATTTCAGGTAGTTTGCAGCTGACGAGAACTTGTGAAATAGAATGATGATATTATTTTATATTGCAAATCTGGTCTTTCTTTCTCTATGGAAATTTATCAAGGGAACCAAATGTATGAAGAAACTATTAAACAGAACGTTGACTGCATAGCTTTATTCTTTCGTAACCTTTGTCTCTTTCAAGTATTATTCTGTACTCTTCTTTTATTACTTCACTCAAGGTTTCCACCATCTCGATCTGCATTCATTCTCAATCAATTTGCTCAACTTGGCACTATTGAAAAACATGTGGTAAGTTGATTTTTGTCAAAGTATAATTACTATGAGGTGGAAAGTTTTCAGACGTTTTTTAAGTCACTATATATATATATATATATATATATATATATATATATATATATATATATAGCTGGATTACAATATCCATGAATAACGGTTTCTAGCTATTAAAGTCCTTCAGATTGGTTACTACCAGTGGTTTCATGGATCAGTGTTCATTCATTCTATGATTATCTGAGGAGTAATCACCAGATGTTGATTGCCCGGTTGGAGTCGGGGATTCTAAAAACCAAATGGTTGGAGACTTGTAATGATAATGTGGCTCAAAATTGTTCTCAATGATGCGCTCAGATGCATTCAGTTTTCGTCAACTCCTAGATCCATTCAGTCCTTATATTCTCGTATAACACGGTAGATGAAAAGAGATTTGGTAACAGAATGTTTATTTGGAATTTGATGTCTTTATGATATAGGGAAGTTATGTACACCGTCTTATAATGGAAATTGTCACTCGCACAGATCTTCCGTAGTGTGCTACTCCTACCCTTCGTATTGTGTTTGTTTGTCTTCTTTTCACTTGCCCTCTCTAATGTAAAATCTATCTCTCGGCTATTTGATATTTTTCTGCCAATGAACGTCTCTTTATATACTACTGATAAGTTTTGTCAGTAGAACACGCCGCATTAATGTTGTAGCAGTTGTCATTTGGGCAGATCATTAGCAGGCGTTC